AAACTTCAGTATTTACTAGTACTTCATTCCTTCTTTAAAATGGATTTTACAAACAATTAACGCAACCATACGACCTCATTGTATTTCCGCCTTTCGTATACATTGCTTAGTATCATATATAAAGACAAATAAAGGATGTTTTTAACATAATTATTAGGCTACAAATAAATTATGAAATAACAAGCATACAACTACTTTATTGATAAACAAGAATGTGTATAGTTTTCTTTTTAAGAGAACCTCCACTTTTTTCGGGTTTTTTTTTCTCCATCAGATGTTTATAGGAAATAAGCGGTGGACAATTTCCTTCTCTGGGTGGTGTGCTTCTATTACTCTCACTCTCATCGTTCTGTTGTGTCATTTTCTGTGATGGGGTCTTGGAAGTAAGGGAGTGGAACCTGAGATTACAGGGGGCAGAAAATACTAAAGAGCTGGGAGCACTTGTGGTCGATAAAGGCACGGATACTATTGATTAAAGGTCAATTCGTAAGGGTAAAATCAGGTCATGAACTATTATTCGACGACCCTGAGGTATTACACGATATCAGAGACTATGCTATTTCACTATATTTCGGAATTTATTTAAGTTTTTTTTTGTATTACAATTCCTAATTCATACTATTTTTTATTTTTATTCTACCACTACTATCTGTATAATGATATTGCCCGACATTCAACTGCAAATACGTGACAACGTTTAGAAATAAATTTGACATACAGAAATAGCATTGATAGTTTTCTTGACACGTTTAAACATTACCTGTATTGTTTTTACATTTTCATACAGATAATTTGATATATATTAGCATGTGATTTTTAATTTCAGGTGAAGCATTTATTAATTCTATCATCAAATTGTGAAAATTATTCTTCATATGCTGTACACCCTACTGAAACATTCTTTACATAGAGTGTTAGTGTAAAATTTTGGTATTATTGAAGCATTATAGCTTTTGAATTTGATACACAGATCGTTTAATAAATAAGCGATATTGATATACTGCACGAATAAAATATATATTTCAAATCAAGTACATATCAATGTTAGATGCGTTTGATTTTAATGTTATTATCTGTGTGAATAAGTAAGACTGTTTTGTTGTTATTGGCTGTTAACTCTATACCTTGTTTTCACCGACTACTTTATTAAGAGATCTGACAGAATGTAGTTTTATAAAAATCCTAGAATACTTTTATATTCGAACTGAGACTTTATATAAATATCACATTGATAAAAGATTTTACGAAACTTTCATCGATAGTTTCGTATTTAATGAATACTGGGCATGAGAAGGTCAAAATCACTGTTCCAGTGAGCTTGAAATAAAAGATAACACAAAGTCTGTCACATTTGATTCATATCTGGATATTTTACTAGAAAAAGGCGTTAATGGTAACCTAACAGCAAAGCTTTATGATAAACGTGATGACTTCATTTTTTCAATCGTCAACTTCCCTTACTTATGTAGCAATATACCCTTATCACCTACATAAGGGATTAATGTCTCTCAGTTCATCCGATACATAAGAGCATGCTTTAAGGTAGAACCTGCGTCGTACGAAGTCATAATTAAGTGAACGAATGCAAGACTGTCTCATCTAATGAAAATTCACAACTGTGTTAAGTGAATGACATGCAACTATTTTGAAGGAATGCAAAGTTGATAAGAAATCTTCAGTCGACTATTAAATAGTACAATATCTTGATATATCGTCTGAGTCTTCAATCTATTAAAGGTTGTATTCAATGTTTGTAATGTCTATTATGAAATGAAATGTATTCATTTTCATGATTATTTCTTAATTATTTATTTGGATTTTTAAGTGCTTTGTGTATAATTATAACAATTCGCTAAATATCAATTTTTAAAATAGAAATTTCATTTTTTTTTTTTTGGGGGGGGGGGGGGGGATAAATATTCATATTGTAAATCTGAAAATAACACCAAAATATTTCTTTAATATGAAATCATTTGTAAGTGCAAAAAGGTCAATATGACTAGTATTGATAATAAACATCTCTCTCATTAGTTTGCAGGGAAAGGTATATATTTTAATCATTTTTCATAATCATTTGGGTATGTTCTTCATCATATTAAGGATTGAAAACATTGTCACGAAGACTTTTGGTAAATATTTACAGATTTAGGGTTGTAGATGGACTAAAACATCCTTTTGAAAATATTGAGCGCAATTTGCGTATATTTATTGAAATGTGGATTTAATCTTAATGTCAATTGAAGAAAAACTAGTTTAATTTTTAATAATATTTCTAACTATTCTTCAGTTAATGAAGTCTATGAACAAAGGACTATGAAGATGTATTTTTGTGATTTTCTATATTCTCCTTATGACAATGTACCCCTAGAAATGGCTGAAAATTATAGTTGCTGTGTATAATAATCATTCTAAATTGCGCCGGCTCCACTACAATTGATAACAAGGAAACATGCCATTTAATTTTAACTTGATTAAATAAGAATATCAGCAGTCTCGTTTAAAGTCATCATTTTGTAAGTTCTATGGTCGATAAAATATGACCTTGTAAGCAATACAATCTATCATTAAGTTTAATACTGACTGATTTTTTTTTTCATACTAATTGTTAGGTCATTATTTACACACAGAATTATCTATGGATTTTTTCGTATTTTCTCCCGATCATGACAAGGAGCACACGGCGGGTGTCACCGGTCGGCAGATGATTCTCACTCCTTCATGGCATCTGAGCCCACCTCTGATGTATTAAAGGCCTTTGTTTTGCACCTGCTTAGTGTTAGCTTTTGTGCCTTGAAATTTATGATTACTAGGCTGTTCCAGGGTACAATTAATGAGTTCTTGACTGTAATGAATACAAATTGTGTCTTATGGATTCTAGCCTGTGTAGAGATATACATTGTGTGATTTTTTTTAAATTTTAATTCCTGCAATAAGGTTTTAAATAATGAGTCCTTGATTTTGTTAAAGGCAATGAAATTTAGGATTATTTACCGACACTGAAAGAACAATGCCCTTTTACCATCCCTAAACAGCAAGAAATGCCTAAAATCTCGCCTGTGATGAATGTCTTGAATTTGATAAGCCTTTCATGGTACAGGTACTGGATCTTTCAAACAAATGTCGAGAACATTCTGAAAACCATTTAGCCTTAAGGGTAAAGATCCATGGGGAAAGCTTTTGTTCTAGAGTGATGATCCGTAACTTTGCTCCTTTGCTGTTTCAGTTTATTTATTAATCAAACAGAAGGGAAGGGTTACTCTGTAGTCTAATTTAGCATAAAACAATGGCCTTACGATTGGTATGAAACATGTCAGTCAAAATACTACTCAATGATAAGTTGTATTTGTAAATGGGCATTTTATCGAACAATAAAGTTTCAAAATGTTGAATTTAAATGAGGTTGCTGAAATCCCTGTAACATCAACGTATTTGTTAGTGGCATATAATAATTATATATATATATATATATATATATATATATATATATATATATATATATATATATATATATATATATATATATATATATATATATATATATATATATATATATATGACTCCAAAGTCCGATGGTGACGCCAAAGTCCAAAGGTCTCGCCAAAGTCCGATGGTCTGCGCCAAACCCCGATGGTTTAGCCTCGCACCCATCCAAGAGATTAGCGTCAGCCTCGCACCCATCCAAGAGATTAGCGTCAGCCTCGCACCCATCCAAGAGATTAGCGTCAGCCTTGCACCCATCAAAGAGATTAGGGTAAGCCTAGCATCCATCCAAGGAATTAGCGTCAGCCTTGCACCCATCCAAGAGATTAGGGTTAGCCTCGCACCCATCCGAAAGATTACGGTTAGCATCGCACCCATTCGAGAGGTTAGGATTAACCTCGCACCCATCAGAGAGATTAGGGTTAGCCTCGCACCCATCTGAGAGGAAAGGGTAAGCCTCGCAACCACTTAAGAAATTATGACTAGTGGTACAATAATTTTTTTTTGCGCTTTTTAGTGAACCATATTACTTCGGCGTTTAACTACTTAAAATTCATTTAATTTATTTTAAACCGTTTACCTTGGCGTGGCGCGTCATCGCAATTTGGCGCAGAAATACTATGACGTCATAAACAATAATTATTTTTCTGCGCCATCGGACTTTGGCGTGTGAACCATCGGGGTTTGGCGCAGAACATCGGACTTCGGCGTGACCATCACACTTTTAAGTCCTATCGCACTTTGGAGTCCTACATGTAGAGAGAGAGAGAGAGAGAGAGAGAGAGAGAGAGAGAGAGAGAGAGTGAGTGACGTATTTGTAGAAGCTTAAAAATATTCTTTTCTGATCATTAGACATTGCCATTTGATGCATCTTTATGCAGTTTATTTTATTCTTAAATATATATAAAGGTTTCATATGTAATAGTCAATAATTCTACATATTGCAATACTGCTTGATAAAATTAATCATCTCTGCATTGGCGACAAATTAAATGTCACACCCATACATTATTATCTGCATAAAAAATGTAAAGCTTCGTGTTAAATGGCTATGCACAAAGCATTAAAATATATAAACTGGGAAATATCATGAGTATGAATATCAATTTTTCTGTCCACCAGACCCTACTGATCCACAATGTTTAATTTCCAACATACTTCTTGTCCCTGCAACGATAAACAAGCGGTTTTGGTTAGGATCAGCACAAAACCTATTCAGAAATGTTACATAATCAAAGTTCAGTGATAGGACGAACAATTGTCACTTATTAAGTCTACTTCCTAATTGCCAAAGTAATGCTATAGATAAACAATTTCTCTATTTAACACAAACTTCAGATGAGCAAAATGTAAAATAAAATACAAGAACTATTTGCATTGCTTCATTTCTTATTCGAACAAATAAAAAAAGGGAGGAAATAGGGTCAATTCAAAAATCTTATTTACATTCAGATTGGACGCGTGTTTAAAAGCCCCCCCCTCTCTCTCTCTCTCTCTCTCTCTCTCTCTCTCTCTCTCTATGTATATATATATATGTATATATATATAAAGAATACATGTACATCGTAGTTATGAAAACAAATCAAAATTCTATTGTTGAATCTGAAGTAGATGTCCAATATTCACTTCACAATATTCCAAAACGATTAGTAGTTACGATAAACAATAAACGTCACCATACAACTTCATTGTACATCGGCATGAAAATATATATATATTAGCATCATTTTTATAGAAAATTATTTTTTAAAAATGAGATGGATGTTCTTTCAAAAAAAGATATATATCATATCCTTAAAAAGATGGCCCCTTCACAACTATCACATAACAAACACAATAAGTACACATATATGAAAAGAATACACATGTTTATATATAATTTTCAGTGAAAACGTGGTCCTTTTCTTATTTTTTTTCCCCGTGAGTTGTTAATAGGAGACAGGCGGTGGTCCACTTCCGGAGTTTGGAGGGACGACTATTTCACTATCACTCCCAATACTGTGTAGTGTCGTTCGTTGTGTTGGGGACTTAGATGAGTAAGGGGGAGGAGCCTGAGAATACGGGGGCGGAGAATACTTAAGGGCTGGGGGCACTTGTGCACTGTAAGGTGGCGGAAACTGTTGATTAAAAGTCAAATCGTAAGGGGAAAATCCGGGACTGTGATTCGACGACCCTGCAAAAAGGTAATAGATTTGTTAATAATATTACAATCTTAAATGATGAATAGTACAAGGTATTGTTTGTTATGATGCCTAGTCTCTTTCTTAGGAAGGAGGGTACATGTACCTTATATTTTTCCTTGCTAGTGTTGGAAAGAATCATTTCTATCTACGACCTCTTGCTTGGTCTAAGGACAGATGATACTAACAAAACAAAAGGACGCCTGAATTGGTATACATTTTCGGACCTTTTTTGATTGAAAATGATTGAAATAAATTTTCAAAATTGTAAGAAATTGTGAACTTTCTATGATGTTCAAAATTTTAACTTTCTGCAACCATCTTTATAAATCTTTACAACTTTTTTGTCACTTTCAATCCCATTATTGTGAAACTTTGAATGGACTATTACAAATATGCGGTCAAGCTTATTCATTTACATAAACATGACTTAAGTTGTTATTTTCAGGATTTTTTGAGATAAGTTTGATTGTATCATCTGTCCTAAAATGTGCACCCAATGAGCGCTTGTCTGAGATAAGGGCATTGACGCTAAAACATTTTCTTGTGATAAAATGCTTTGATTTATTACAGTTTCTGTCTGTATTGATGATGTACCAAATCAGCTGGCTCTCAGCTATGATGAAATGTTGAACTTAAAGGACCTTTACTTGTAAAGGCACAAGTCTTAATATACCGGTGAATCTCGAAGACTTGGTACTCATTGACCTTCAAAAGAACTGTAAAGAAATTTTCACCTGTGGTGATAGCCATCGTTCTGGACTGATGAAGCACCGTAACGTTTGCTCCTCTACAATTGTGACTAGATACCGCCACTGAGGAACATGATTCCTTCCGCCAATGTTTCTTAAGCCAGCAGTACACAATCCCAGCAATGACAGCGATGAGTAGCGCTACTCCGATGATTATGCCGACGATAAGACCGGCGAAGGAACAGCAGTGTTGGTCTTTGTAGTCACCACAACAGCCATGTTCACAAGGGAATTTGTCTTGTCTGTTCTCACAAAACGTCTCTTCCCCGGAAATATCTGTAAATATTAACAGGGTTGTTGTCAGAAGCATTAATAGAAAATCAAATCAATATAGGATTCTATGATGAAATGATTGCTGAGATTTCTTAATGTCTGGGAGATATATCACTGACTTGCGCAAGGAAAATATCACTGATTGATTGATGGATGTTGTTTAACGTCCCATTCGAGAACTTTTTACTCATTTAGAGATGTAACCTGCTTTAGGTGAAGTGCGAGAAATTATAAGCTATGCATGGCGCTTACTGCCTAAGTAATGAGGTATCTTTATCTGCAAACGCCTACCGTGACATACCTCAGTTTTTAAGGTCTCATCCGAGAAACCCGTGACTTTCATTTCTAGCTCCGGCGCTTGACGAAGGAAAAGTAACTATTTAAAACATCTTAGGTTTGAGACGGCGACGGGAAGGAGAATGAAACCCGGAAGTCAACACTCTACCCTTAGCTACTGGTCATAAGTAGAATAAGAAACAAAAGACGAGTATAACGATAATCTGTAAGATGACAAAAATGAAATTTAATTTTAAAAAGTAGTTCCTATTGTAATTCCTAATTAGAATGTATGAACATGCTCTATGTATGAACAATTTCTAAAACGAGGTGAGTTATTGACAAGCAAGTTGATGAAACAAGAATATTAACAGTCTCTTTTAAAGTCATCATTTCGTAAGTTCTATGGTCGATACAATGACCTTGTCAGCAAATACAGTTTATCATTAAGTCATATGCTGACTGGCGTTTTTCATATAAATGGTTAAGCCGTTATTTACACACTGAATTGTGTCGACGGATTGTGACCGGTCGGCAGGGGATGCTCACTCCTCCATGTCACCTGATTCCACCTCTTATGTTTTTGAAGGTCTGTGCTTGCTCCGCTCCCGATTTGTATTGTTTTAATGGACTTAGAGCTTGAAAACTGTTCGTTATCTCCAAATTTCATTGAGTCCAAATGTAGAAAGGGTTCAAATGACAGATTCTATAAGATCAAAAGCATACTGCATATTTTCTTGACATGACCAAATAAAAGACAAAAAAAGTTTCAAATTTGATATCTCTTGGAGGGATTTGAAAATCTTTCGAACCTTTGGTGATCATTAGCGGTCGAAATAGAAATTCTAAAGTCTTAATATACGTCTACATAATATGGAAAGAATCATCTACAAAATATGGCCAGTCGTAAGTTTACCTTTTTAGTTTACTTTTGAAAAGTAAGAGAAGATGCCGTGAAAAATAAGCTGTGAATATCCAATTAAAGCTTCTTTGGGAAGTTACAATTATAATAAAAACACCATGTTTTATGTGATTTAGTTAAAGATACCTTGATAAAAGAAGTTGAATGAAGAAGAATCACTCTTTAAAAAAAACAACAAAGAAAAGGACACAAAATTACAAGTTAATTGGATAATTGAATTATACTACAGTAACTGATATTTTTGTGAACATACTAGATATATAGAGTCTCAATTATTTGCGACTTCAACTCTAAAAATGGTAGGTCTGAGAAATGGATCTTGTGAAGAAAAAACAAGCCGACCGGAGAACTGTGGGACAAATGAATTTTTAATGCCATGATGAAACCGATTGTCAAGACGGTAAAATCAATACGGATCTCGTTAAAATATCTCTTTTATCTTACACTGTCGTTGTTGAAGTATATTATTACCTTACATCAGGCAGAATAGATTTATTTATAGGATTATTGGGTGTTAATAAGTACTCTAAAGCTAGTTATTACGGGAATACTAAGCTGATTCTTTGTTTATGATATTTTGATAGTTATTCTTAGGTGTTACATTGTACTTTCACCATCCGTACTCAGATGTACTTATGATGAAAGTACCACATGTACATATCCTATAAAGATTGATTGATTGATTGATTGATTGACGCGAATGTTGTTCCGTTGTTATCATTTTATTCAAGCTAAAACAGTTGCGGAACATAAGCGCATTATGGATATCAATTCAATAGGAGACGACGCTTTTTTAGAAAAACCGGAAATTTATTACAACAGACAATGCCATGATGGCACATCACCGCCATTTAATGAATTCAATACCAATACTCACATCAGTAATAATTCATAGATCATGATTTACAACATATTTAAGTGGCAGTGTAAATTAAATATTAATTTTCTTAAACTCCCAGAACCTTTTTGATAAAAATGTAAATCACCCCCACCCCCCACCCCCCACCCCAAAAAAAACCCAGTAACATCAAAACGTATGCATTTCAATACTTTTCTACATCATTCGTAAGGATAAATAAAGGACCAGTCCAGGCTGTTTGACGTCACGACTGCTTCATCTACAATATGGATTTTTTAAACATCAGTCTGATTCTCTACAAAAGTCTCAAATTGATATTAAAAAAAGATGCTTGAGTTCCTCATTGACAACATTACATAAAGTCAAGTCTTTTTTTCTTCTCTTTTTAGGTCACCTGAGTCACTCAGGTGACCTATTGCTATCCGTTCTCGTCCGTCGGCGTGCGTCGTGCGTCTTGTGTTAACATTTGAACATTTTTAGCTTCTTCTCTGAAACCGCTTAACCAATTTCAACCAAATTTTGCATATAGCATCTATGGGTAAAGAGGAACAAAAATTGTGAATTTCATGGTCCCTGCCCCCTGGGGCCTGAGGGGTGGGGCTAAAACCACCAAAAATAATGCAATCTTTAAAAATCTTTTTCTTTACTCCTGGACATCAAGCAGTCAAACTAGTGGCATCATTGTAATAAGCATTGAGCCCTCTACCAAAATTGTGAAATTCATGGCCCCAGGGTCAAGGGTTCTGGCCCCAGGGTGGGGCTATATAGATCATATAGTGAAAGTGCATAATTTCTTTGAAAATCTTCTTCTGCTCCTGGGTATTAAATAAAGTAACTAAGTACATAGTTATGAAAAGAAGAGTGCCTCTTCCAAAATTGCGAAATTCATGGCCCCAGGGTCAGGGGTTCTGGCCCCAGGGTGGGGTTATATAGATCATATAGTGAAAATGCATTAGTTCTGGTGTTAGGGTAAGGCTTTGTTGAATCTGTAGTTTAAAATGCATTGTACCTGTGAAATTCTTCTCTGCTTCTGGGCATATCGGAAGCAAACTGAGTAAAGTTTAAATGATATAAGTAAGCGTATTTCTACCAGATTTTTGAACATCTGGACCATTTGTCTAAGCATTCTGGTCCTGGGCAGGGCTCTATTAATTTGTATTCTACTGAGAGAAGTTATTCCCCTTTTCCATTCACCTTTGATAATTAATCACTGTAAATAATGTATTTGAAAGGTTAATAGAACAAGATAATTATGCAAGAATGTTTATCGTATAATTCAAAAAGTACTTTCTTAGTTTTAATAACCAGGGAGACCTGTAAGTAATAGATAAATAAAAATGAGACAAAAATAACTTATCTTATTAAAAGTTCTTCAAAGAGCATAAGAGAGGTCAATACTAGAAGTCTTAATATGGGTTTTAAAATAGTGCAGAAGCACTAATAGTTTGTTAATAGTCTGCATGGTGATAGTGTTAAGTGGGGGACAGATTAGAACTTAATTTATGAGTTGATACTGAATACTAGACTAATTATTTTGTTGATCCTGATCTTCCTACTTCTCTTGCTTTAGGGCGACAAAGCTTCATCTATCAGCGTTTTTAACTTCTAAATTGTTGTATTATACCCAGGTGACCGTTAAGGCCCTTGGGCCTCTTGTTTTAATATACCATGCAAAGAATCGCAGTTCCCATAAGCATTATCTATAAGTTGTTGGCAGAAAATTCTAAGAAAATAGTTATTTTTAAGTTAAATATTCTCAATTTTGAAATTAAACTTTTCGTGAAAATCTACGCAAGTATAGGTAACAGAGGTAACTCTTAAATCTCCGTTATTTTTGCAGTAATTTGTGCAGTTTAATTATCATTTTTACACAAGAGGTGAACATGCACTCCCGTTTTGACCACATGAGGTATTTTGTATAAAACTAATGGTGATACATGAAAATACCCAAATACTGCGTTTGACCTTGAATAGAAGAAGATAATATTTCAATATTAACATAAATATTCTCTGGCAGCTATATAATACGTCTGCTTGCTACGTTAATGATTTTAATATACTCCAATATTGTATTATGATGGAATTAATTTGTGCCAATGATCTTCAGGACAGTGATTGAGTGTCATTAAGGAATAACTGATCGAACACACGGGTGAATGCTGGCGTTGCGCCCTATGAGAGCTGTATAGTTGTAACATTTTTTTTTTTTAATTTTGTCGTTATTGGTGGTGGTGGTTTTTCTTTTTTAATTATTTATATATTTTAACTTTTTTTATTTAAGCATTGAATTCTTATTTTTAAATGTCGTCGGTCCTATAGCAGCACCTAGCCGTGCCGACAAATTGAATACCGCGCGTTAGCTTGCTGTAATAGGATCGACGACATCCAAAAATAAGAATCCAATACCTATAATTACATTCTCTAATTTATTCTCTTCTAAAATTGTTAATTTCGTTCATCTTTATTATGAATTTAGCCTCTTTCAGAACTGGTTTGCTTGATGGACATGTAAGAGCCGTTGTGACGTGGAAAGTTAAATAATGGAAATAAATATTGCTAGGGAAAAAATTAACATGTTATGATTTTAAAATAACTTTATTTTTAGTTTTTAATTAAATTGAGCCAAAATAATATTCATTTTGATGTTCCTAGAGTATTGAAAATGCATCTAGTTTCCTACTGTGTATTCTACCGCGCGGTGACAAGGTTTTGCACGTGTTTTAGGGTATTGAATGTTCAAGATTTTCAATGGATTTTATTAAGAAAATTACACTGAATATAAATATATTTTTTAATGACTTTATCAAAAAAACATACATATTTGTTTTTTAGAAGCTCTGTGAAAAAGTTGCGTATTGCGCACTTGTGCGTGTATGGTTGTATAGCATTTGGTAACATTTCAAGCTTAGGTTTTGTCTCGAAACCCCCGTGTTAACAATCCTAGGTAACAAAAAAAATAAATAGGTTACTATAGTTTACCATAGTATCAAAGTTCTTTTTACTATAGTAAATCAAAGTATTTTTACTATGGAAATCAGATTGTTACATTTTTTGTTCTTATATTCAGACATGCACTTTTTTTTATATTAAATGGAAGTATTATTTGTAATGTATATTCACATATTATTTTCAAAGTTTACATCACCGTTATCGATTTTAAGAGATTTTAAGCTTTGAAATCTCAAAAAAAAAGTTCCAGAGTGAAGATTCATAGTAAATCAAAATATCAATGTTTTACTATAGTTAACTATAGTAAATTTTTGTTAGGGATTCACTGTTGAAATATTGTTTGACTAATGTATTGTTAACCAACAAAGGGAGGGTCCTTATTCTGTCATGGTCTCTGGGTCATGGTTGAGATATCAATAAGGTTTCAAATAATAATAATAATGAAAAATTATAAAAATAAAACAAACACACCGGGAATAACAAACAGGCGAATCAACTGAGATAAAAGCGAAAACAGAACACCTCAAATTCCTAAAATATGACTAGTTTAGAAAATCTGAAATATATAAGCATGAACATTGTCTTACCTGAAATGAAGACGATTATAATGAATAAAAGTTGTTCCAAGATTAGTTCCACATTCATATTTTGTCAGGACATTTAAGGAATCTCGACTAAAACGAAATCAGAGGAACTATGCACTGGAAAAAGAGGAAATATGACGGAGAAGGCGGGTAATCCATCCGCCATCACAAGCTTCAGCAATTATTTCGTATGCATTAGAATATAAAGCTAGGTTTTTAAAAAATCAATTATTTGTTAGGTGGGCTTTGTGAGAGGTTCAATTATATTGCGACCGCTCTCATTTATTGGACACGTAGTCATAGGTACAACGGATAGATTTCATCGATTTATGACGCGACATGGATATAATTCCTTCGGGATCGATGTTTTCAAAATTCTTAATTGTCAATCGTCTGCCTGTCCCAGTCTCAAATAATCGATGAAAGAACGTAAGGAGAGTCCGGAAACAAAAGTTATACGAAACCGTATTGATTTAACATTTAAATATATTTTTTCAGTCATAACATCGCGGAAAGTAAATATTTAATGCTTATACTTTAATTTAATTTTATATTATGTGTATATCAAAGAACGTACTAAAGAAGTATTAAAAAGGACTTGCGATTCTTGAATTGAGTTTTTTTTTTATGCCATTTTTTAAAATTTGTGTATTTCCCTTATCCATAGGCGTCGGAACCGGGAGGGGGGGGCTAGGGGGGCTTAGGCCCCCCCCCCACTTTTTTTGCAAAGATATACATAATATAGGCGTTGAAAATTGGGTTTATCTTTTTTCGTTGGTTTAGCCCCCCCCCCCCCCACTTTCAATTAGCCACCCCACTTTTAATTTGCTTCCGACGCCTATGTTATCTACATATATTCCATATAGTAAATGGACCTTTACACTCTATAGCAAACTGTGACAAACAAAGGATTGATTAAATGATTGCAGTTATAAGGGTTTTCACAATGCATTGATTTTTAAGATAATCACTTTATTTGAAGAAGAGTTTATATAAAGGAGGAAGAAAAAGTTTATGAAACGATGATAATTACGTACCCAGTGCGGGAAAAAGTAATTTGGTTTAAATAAATATTTAATGACCTTAGCTAATTGTCATATTTAAATATACCTCTTTCTCGATCAGAAATTAAAATCTTAAAGGTTATTTATTTATGGTTTGGTTGGGGGTTTTTTTAAGACTCATCGATGTAAATCAAGCAAGTATTTCTGTTTTAAATTAAAGGAGTGTAAAACTCTCATCTCTCTTTAACGTACTGTAAGATTTTGCAAAGAAAAATTAAATTATTCAAAGTCTTCAACATCATGACCGAATTAACATTTCCTGTAACGGGGGACATTTGTGTCTCTGCCGTAACATCCATGTATAATTTAATTTTTTCTCGAAACAATTGTTATCGAATTAACTTTTTACAAACATGTCGACTGGTTCTCTGCCCTTGATTCCGGTCGCTACAGCTAGAAAATTTAGCAATGTATATGCCTTGCATTTGATTATTAGTTGAATAGTCCTCTATTTTCTTTCCAGTTGACCATTAGTTAAATAGTCCTCTATTTTCTTTGGATTTTACCATTAGTTGAATACTCCTCTATTCTCTTTGCAGTTGACCATTAGTTGAATACTCCTCTATTTTCTTTGCAGTTGACCACTGTTGAATACTCCATTAGTCAGTGCATGTTGCATTTACAAAAAACAAATGGAGGGAGTTTTGAAAACCAAAGGCAAGCAATACAGTGAGTACACGTGTGCTTGGAAAAGCTGCCATGTCTCTGAGTAGGAAAAGTCAAATCAATGAGGCTACTAAAATGATATACATCTATATACATGTATGTATGTGAATGCATAAAGATAAATTGAGCTGGCACACTCTCTAAAGTTGCTATGCCTCCTTTATTTTCTGTGCAGAAAAAGTACATATAGTCTAAAGCAATGGCAAATTTTTACCAACAACACAACAAGAAATATAACAAAATACTTGATGCACAACAAATTATCGGAATTCTTTTAATATTTTAACAAGTACACAAAAGTAGGGACCTATACTAGCTACAATATCATGTCTTTCTAATATCTTTTAGAAAAAAAAATAAAGAAAGAAAAATCTTTAAATTTTATATTTACATGGATTGCACAAGCTGAATCATTTATGAAAACAATTGTTTCAATTAAAATTCTCCACTTCCTTACAAAACACACACTGACACACGTTACTTGATTCAAATCTAGATTGTTGTAAGAATTATGGAATTGCAAACCCGAACAATACTAATGTCATTCCAAACCCAACATAAATAGAGTCAGAGGGAGTGGTCAACTATAGTCAACTCTGCAAGATTTCACAAAGTTTGAGTGTTCAACAATAGTCAACTCTTTTCTCGCATGAAATTTTCAAAGTATTAGCATTCAACTAATGGTCAACTCTGTGAAAAATAGTCAATTGACCGTCACCTGACCGTCAACTGACTATTTTATGCAAAACAGTTGACAACCTTTCTGAAAAACATTCGATTCCTAGTGGTCAATTGTTTTCGAGTATTCAGTTGACGGCTAGTTGACGACTAGTTGAGAGTCAACTAGACATTTTCTTATGGGAGCTAGGGAACCAACCAACATATAAACATTCTTGAACACTTTTTGATAGAAATATAGAAATTCATTCCCTAAAGCATGAATCATAATTATTTATGTTTTGAGATTTATACAGTTTCTAAAGGTCTTAAAAGAATTACAGGAGTCCTTATAGCAAATAAGGTTACTGTTGTCCCTCCATAGAGGATCCCTTTATCACCGTAGAGCATACTCTTGCGTATCGAATCAACTGAGAGATATAAACCCCGTATGCAGGTGATGAAGGTATATTGCTGCATAAGTAAGGGAAGGTGACGATTGAAAAGTTAAAGTCATCACGTTTATCATTAACTTGGTTGTAAGACTACCATTAACGTCTTTTTCAAGTAAAATATCCAAATTTGAAACAGATGTGTCAGACTTTGTGGTATCTTTTATCTCAAGCTCATCTGGATATATCGTATCGACATAAGAATGGAAATAACCATTGTTAATTGACAATACGTCGTCGATAAATCTAAATGTCGAGTTGAAGTCCACAGCAAGTGTTTTCTTCTTTTCACGTATAAGAGTTTGGACAAATTCTGCTTCATATGAATATAAGAAAGGTCTGCTTATAACAGGGCATCAGAATTCATATCAATACATAGCTTTGATTAACCTACATATCCCAAGAACATCTAGTAAGCGATTTCGTAGAGATATTGGTTTAAATTCTACTTCTGGAAATTCAACTTATACCCCCCCCCCCCCCAGTTCATAAAAGGATGAAATTCTTCAAAATCACGTTTTAATCTTTGATGTTTTTAACATTCGAGTCAACAAAAGAGAATTTGATTTACTCTACCTAGACTGGATTCCTAAACGTCATAAAAGGCCTTACAAACAAAGATACAATGCCGGATCCAGCAAATGCTCTACCAAGCCCCCAGTTTACTTCTCACAAAAATTTTAACCATTGTGAAAAAAAAAAATACTTCAGGTGTACTGTGCTACAACATATTCCAGGAATTGTGAAAGTCAAATGTGGATTTTCAAAAACTTCTACGAACTTTTCGAAAATTTAAAATCACGTTTTTTTCAAAGTCAGTAAATCAAATCGAATTTTTTTTTTAAACACCTAATGCAACGATTCCTGACGATAAATTAAAGATCAGCTTTTTGATATCATAGACAACTACTTTTTCAAGAAATATGGAACTCAGACATTTTTGTATCTTTCAATGGTCATTACAAGATTACTTTGTTATAAAAATCACTCTGATTCTACACACAAGTACTCTGGGGTTGATATTAAAAAGATGCTGGAGTTCCTCTTTGACAATATCTATGTAGTCTTTGGAAGCCACGTCTTCTACCAATCTATTAGAATTTAATTCTATGGGCACTAATTGTGCTCATTTATTAAAGCCCTGTTTTTATATTCTTGTGTTTTTATATTCTTCTACATGAGAACAAGAAAACTTTTATGGCCTTCAATTCAATATTTAGATATATCGACATTTTTATTAATTAAAAATAGTAAATTTCATTCATTTACAATCGCAACTTCTCGGGTCTTTCCGGCAAACTTGGAAAAACACATCGAAAGTATTTACATCATCTGATGTTAAATTTTTATTCAAAATGGAGACGCTTCCCATCAGTGTAAGTACTGGCTGGACAGAATCGATCACTTCGTCTGTTTTCAACGAAGTTTAGCTCCATACTCTATAAATAAGAGGTCTTTCTACAAGTATATTTATTTAAATGTTTATGAAAAGTGTGGTTGTAATGGACGTTTACGTAACACATTCGAGGTCGTTCTGCTGCTTGTTGAAAAGGCTCGAGAAGCTGTGAGTGCATTCATTGGTTGACTCGATTTATCCCAGTGAACTGGAAATAAAAAACACCACAGAATGTACCACATCTGTTTCATATTTTGATGTTTTACTGATGATAATAGCCAACTGTGTGACAAACGAGATGACTTCTCAACAATCCCACGAAATATGAAGAAAATGAACAGTAATCATGATGAAGTCCAATAAAACAATACAAACTGAACTTCTAAAAACATCAGAGGTGGAATCAGGTGCCATGAAGGAGTAGGCATCCCCTGTCGTCCGGTCACACCCGCCGCGTGCCCTTTGTCACGTTCAGGTAAACAAAGAAATCTTTCGTCAGTTCGGAAGGAAAATAATGGCCTAACATTTCGTATGAAAGACATCAGTCAACACTCGAAGTAACGGCAGATTTTATTTGTAAACATTGGTCATTGTATCGAACAGAGAATTTGCAAAATGTTGACTTTAAATGATATTGAAGATACCCTTGTATCATCAACTTATATGTCTGTAGTCTTTCTAGTTTTTAGAAATTTTTTTCGTACAAAGAGCATGCTCTTCCGTATTGAATCAACTGGGAGACATAAAATCCATATGCAGATGACAATGGTTTATTACTACTTACTAGTAAATAAGGGAAGTTAACGATAGAAAAGTTAAATTCATCACGTTTATCCTAAAGTTTAGTTGTTCGTTTGCCATCAATGTCTTTCTCGAGTAAAATATCCAG